CCGAACCCTCGGCGGGAGCGCCTCCGCACTTCCCAAGTGGCGCACTAGCGCAGTGCGCCACCGGGCCGGCCGACCCTGAAAGAAATTTTTTAAAAGAGTGACCAACCAAGCTACTTTGAAACAAGTTCCTGTGTTGTTCTGGGTCACATTAAAGGGAAATAAAGTCACAATTATTAATGATCTTATATTTATGGCTACTATGGAGGAAGAGAATCATCTTTTGCTTCAAGAAAAATATTCTTTTAATTTATAGTAGGTCAGGATAGGCAGACAGCCTTTCCTTAAAATGTCTGAAACCAACTAAAATAGTAATGATAAAGAAATACAAATGTATTTGTAGATCCATTGAAGACAAAAACTTTCATAAATATTCCATTACTCTTTTTCCCTTGGGCAAAAGCAACACAAACAGATGGTCACTGAGTCATACTGGAAATCAAATTGTCAATGGTTTATCAAAAGGGAAGTCACCTCTACTTAGCATCACGAAAAGTTAAGTTTCAATTTTTCATCCTGCCAGCTCCTATTCTCAGTAGGCTCAATATAACTTCTAAGTCTTTGGTCACTCCCCCAAATTTCCCAATACTGATGGGTGTTTCCTTGAGATAAGCTGAAGCAGAGGATGTGAAAAGACATAGAGCCCAGGAAATGTAAAATGAATGAACAATAAAGTAAGCCAGTTTCTTCTTTTAATTGACAAATAAAAATCGTACATAGTCATGGTGTACAACATGATGTAAATATGTATACACTGTGAAATGGCTAATGAAGCTAATGAGCATAAGCCGAGGATGTGAAAAGACATAGAGCCCAGGAAATGTAAAATGAATGAACATGTCCACAACACATACAGCAAAGTTGGAGGTAAGTCTATGCAAAATAACCTCTACTCCTTCTCCCCTTCTAATTATAACACAATTAACGCAGGCTGATTGCATATGATAACCAGGGAGGTGAGATGTACTTAAATAGAAAAGCAATCCTTAAATATCATTTCAAATATCAAATTTCCTCTCCACTTAATATTTTATTATTGCTACTAATAAGTAGCTTATCAAACCCCCTCCTCCATAGGCCTTTCCATCCTATTCTCTCATATGAAATTAATCGGGACCTTCTATGTTCTCTCATTGCACTTCTGTTCAAATTTCTACTATTGGAGGCTTCCGGTCAAGATGGTGGAATGGACAGTCCCCAGCATCACTCTCTCCCACAAATCAACCAATTTACCACTATAAAAAAGCAACAACAGCCAAGTTGGGGCCGCTAGAGCTCAGGGGAAGAGGAGGAGAGACTTACGGAGCGTATGAAGGCAGGAGAAGCCACAAGTAGAGAAAGAAAAAGCCACTCTGACCATTTTGTGCTGCAGCCACTTTAAGTCTGGAGCTGCTGAGTGCAAGAAGCAGGAGCCAGCAAAAGCCACAGCTGTTCCCTTTGGATGAAGTTGCTTGGATGCAGCAGGGGAGAAGAGAGCTTTGGTGGCCCCCAAGCCAGCAAGACCACTAATAGGGTTCCTGTGGACTCATGCAGGAGCGAGGAGCCAGAACAGCTGAAAAAAAGGAGCCACTCAGAGGCTGGTGAGTCATCGCAAGGGACCAGCACATGGCCTGTCCCACTGGAAGTGTCTGCAGCATGGGCAGTGGTAGAGATGGGCCCATTGGGGGAACACTGGGGCACAGCAAGGACTGCTGACTGGCACCCCAATCAGCAAAGGACCTCTCAGTGGAGACTGACAAGGAATATGGAACTACATAGGGTACATTTTGATGAAAAGACTCAGGCCCAGATCAGAGTTTCTACACAACTCAGGTGCACCGGGTCTTTGGAGAGCCAGAAGTACCTGTAAAGTCAACCATTAAATCAGCAGCAAATTAGCAATTTAGCTAAACCACGCAGCTCAAGTACTAGTTACCAAAGGAAGTTCCTCATTTTGGAAGTAAACAAAGAACAAAAAATTAGTTCCAACCCAGGCACACCACCAGTGCCTTAGTTACCAAAGGAAGTTCCCCATTTTGGAAGTAAACAAAGAACAAAAAATTAGTTCCAACCCAGGCACACCACCAGTGCCTCCGGGGAACAGACCCCCTCTGCCACAATCAGGCACACTGCCAGCACCCGGGGCCCACCCTTGGAGCCAGAGAACGGACTCCCTCTGCCACAACCAGGCACACCGACACCAAGTAGCATGACAAAAACATCACCTCCATGTGGGTGGCCCACCACAGCTACCACAATAACTACGGCTGCCATGAAAGCAGCTAGATGCCACAGACACCACACAGGTGGTCCACCAGCCACTGGAGTGCACAAGGAAAGTCACCAGCAGAGAGCAAAGAACAGAAGAGGATGTCTCTCTCCACAAAGCCGATTCCAGAGTGACAGAAGAAGCATGTGCTCTATGAAAATATTGGGGGACCTAAACACACCTCTCAGCACTGGACAGATCATCTAGGCAACAAATCAACAGACCATTACTCTTTCAGAGGGAGAGAAGAAATCTAGGGTAATTAGAGGGCTGAGAGGGAAGGGAGAGGGGATGGGAGAGATTGGATATAGGCATAAAGAATAATTATGATTTGTAACAATATATTGATTTGATCAACATGTTAGTGTTGAACCCCCAAAATGTGAAATCAATTATGATTCAATAAAAATTAAAATAAATAAATAAATAAAAACAGAACAAATTTCTACTATTCCTGTCAATCGCTGCCTACTTCAATATACTATACCGTCCATTGAATACTGAGTCACTTCTGATGTTATTTTCTGGTGTTATTCTTTGTATTCCTCCCAGCCTCTACACAACACTGTACATAATGGGCCCTCAACAGATACTAGTAGAAGTAGAAGCGAATCTCTCTTTTGGGTATCCAGTGAGAAGGCTGCAGACCCAATTATACCACCTGTGCAGAACTCACCTCAATGTAGTCCTGAAGAGCAGTGTCAAGCATGGTCAGGTCAGTCAGGAAGGTGCCCAGGTAGGGCACAGTACCCTGCATCACACCCTGAAGAGCAATCAGAGCAAAACTGTCTTTAGTATATTGAAAAGTTTAAAGGTTTCAGTCACATTGACACTGCAGCAAATGGACCTATTGAAGGTCTAATTTGCTAACCTCCGTGAATGAAATGTTTAAAATTCCTACACAAATAGGATAGGAACTCCATGACTAATGTCTCACATTCAAACTTATAAAAACCAAGCTTCAAACCCAGGAGATCATACATGTATGTTCAAATATGTCCCAAGTGGGGTTTATGTTTGGCTTAGGCTCAGTTCAGAGGGAAGGCTTTCTCTGTTTCAGAGTATATGGACACTCTCAGGGGTTTGGAATGGCCCTGGGTAGCAATGGCTTCATCTTCAATAAAAGCAGGTCAAGGCACAATGGAGGAGAGGTATGTACCACAAGAGCATGGGGTGTCACGATGAAAAGGGACCCTTGGGCTAGACTAGTGACTCCCTTTCAAAGAACAGAGGAAGGAAAGGGGGAAAAAATAGCATTAAAGTGGAAAACTGGGGGTTGGCCGGTTAGCTCAATCGGTTAGAGCACGGTGCTGATAACACCAAGGTCCAGGGTTTGATCCCTGTACTGGCCAGCCACCACACACACACAAAAAAAAAAAAAAAGGAAAGAAAAAAAGCATTAAAACAGAAAATCTAGCTAACTCTACGTTAACTCAGTAACGAAGGTCAACATTACCAGCAGCACCATCAACATGACACCAGATGTCATGCTGACACCATTCACTCCTTGACATGTGACGAGAAGAGCATTCACCTCTGTAATAGTCTTTCCCAAAACCCATAATATCAGTTTAATCAACAGACAAACCCAGATTGTGGGGCATTCTACAAGATACCTGGACAGTACTCTTAAAACTGTGAAGGTTATTAAAAAAAAAAAACAAAGAAGGACTGAGAAACTGTCACAAACCAGAAAAGCCTGGGAAGACTCCATGCAGTGTGATACACTGGGTTGGGTCCTGGAACAGATAGAGCACACTAATGGAAAACTGGTACAATCCCAATAAAGTCTGAATTTTAGTTCATAGTACTATGGCAGTGTCAGTCTCTTAATACTGACAGACATGCCATGGTTATAGAAGATGTTAACAATGGGCAAAACTAGAGGAGGGTTTACAGAAATTCTATGCACTAGCTTTGCAACTTTTCTGTAAACCTGAAATTATTCCAAAATTAAAAGTTTAGTTTTAAAAAATTGCCCCTTGGAAATGGAGGTGGAGGCACTTCAGAGTACAACTGCACATATACACTATGTTCATTTCACCACATCTCCTTCCCTACCAGGCCCCCGAGGCACTAACCATTCGAAGAAAAAATAAAAAGGAGCCCCCATGGACGCCTCATCCTAAATTTCATTGAGGCACTTATGGAAATTCTGACAAGGACACAAAGTTTCAACGAGGGCCAGGCTGCTTGACGTGAGGCTGTCCACGTCCTCAGCCAGAACTGCTTGGTGAGGGTCACACTAAGGAAGGTTCTGTACTTTAGGAACTGTCAGCTGCAGTTTGTTCTTTGCCATTATGTTTACAAGGTCTCATCCTGAACAAAAATAATCTTTTTTTTGGTAACAGCTATTTTTAACTTGTTTTTGAACCTCCAAAAAAGTTTGAAACACTGTGAATGTTTTGTAGGTTTTATGTTACAGAAAAGTCCTGTCATTCAAACCTTTTCAATTTATGTCCAGCTTTCCAAAAAAGGAGAAAATCCTCTGAAAGCAGGGATGAGAATATTTAGAGTTTGACAGTCTCTAATCTCCTTTCTCTGTTTTTCCCCCTTCTATGGTAAAAGTTGGAAATTTAAAATAAAGATAAAGGTAAGAACTATCTTTCAGTCTTCAGGAGAGAAGCATGAAACTTCTGTGAGTACTGAAAACCTTAGAAAGGTTTGCTCAGGCTTTGGGTTTAGTAAGGAGAGCTCAGCAATGACTAAAGGGTTTGGAACAAATGTAAAGATCTCTGAGTACAAGGACCAAGACCTCCCAGAGTAGCATACTCCTTCCTTGACCACTGTGTGCAGAAGCTGAAAACAGTGTGCAGCCCAGGAGGCTAAGCTCTGAGGTGCAGGCGTGGGTGGAGGAGACCACAGAGGGATGCAAGTCCACCTGCTGCACACTCTCCCTTACCTTCAGGAAAAAACTGCTCCAGAAAACAGGATTTGCAACTCCGTGTTTACTTCCTACTGAATCAAATGGGGTAATACTATCTTTCCTATAGACTTCCAGGGCTGCTGAAAACATATGAGGTAAAGAACAGGAGAACCTTTCTGAAAGCTTGGGTGTCCTGGAGACTGAAGGTGCCGGGCCAGGCAGGAGCCCAGCCACCCACACAGAGCCTCTCTCCTGTGCACTCTCAGGAAAGAACAAGATCCTGACGTACCATATCCTTCTGGAGCTGAAGCCGCCTCTGACTCTGTTTCTGGTTTTCTTTCACACTGCTGTCCAGGTTTGCGAATTTTGAGTTTCCTTCCTAAGAAACACAAGCGCACAAAGAGGGGAGTGATGGAGGATGCCACGCTGGAGAGAAGTGGAGGGACATCTAGTGTCTGGTACACGACCCCGCACGACTCTCTGAATGCCACGCAAAACAGAGGCTTCCAGCAGGCAGGCTCTGGCATGGTGTTATGCAAAAGCTTGGCTGGCTTGTTGCAAGCAGTCTATTTATAAAGAAGCCTGGTGGTCTTGGATTATCCTGTTTTCCCCCCAACTTTGTAAGAAGAGCAACTGATTTGGTTATAAAATCAATCATCAATATACAAGGCAAGCAATTCTCGGAACCAGAGACATTTTTACACATCCCAAATTTCACTCAGAGTAATCCCGTGTCCTGGAAATGAAGATCTCTTCCTCTGTACATGTCGTGATTTCTTGATCTTGGCCTGAAATGGATGTGCCAGCATTTTGTGAACAAAAGGGACTATTTCTGTGGCATTTCTTCGCTAAATGAAACTTTTGAAGCGGAAGTTTTCTGAGGAAGTCCAGTACTGTGGTACATCACCAATCCATGAAAGCCAGACCCTCACACGTTTTTTGCCCTTTTTATCCCCCCAATCAATCCAAAGCTGCCTCTTGGGTTTGGAACACTGACTAATCCACCCTTCTACCTGGTGTCTGAGGACAGAGGGCTCCCCTTCTCTCTTCCTGTCTGTAATGATCACCAGCTCTTCTACGTAGTGACTAATCACGAGTTTCCTGACTAAACACAAAGTGTTTTCAGTTTTGTGGTTTCAGTGTCTTGTGAAGTTCTCATTTTCCAGGAACAGCATGAATGGGAGGCAAATTTCACAATCCAGTAGAGAATAACCTCTGTACTAGTTTTCCCTTAGTCAGTTTTCCCTGTATTTATTTTATTACCATAGCATGTGACCTTTCACTAGTGCACAATTGCAAGAGGATTCTCTTTCAGTGACTTGGCCTGGCTGATGGCAGTACAGCGTCAACACATTCTATCACTCACCAGTCTTAACCTGGGTCCCAGGTACACTACTGGGGACAGATCCATAATGACTCATTATTTATTTAGGTTCTTATTACAAATGATAATAAGGAGAGTTACCATTTACTAGTCTTACTTACAGCTTCTTCCAGGGATGAATGAAAGTAGCCTAACATGCACCATTTCCTGGGCTAGGTGAGTCCTCCCAAATTCTTGAGAATTTGCTTGGAGTGAGAAATCAATTCTGTCTGACCTGAATATGAGTATGTGCCCACCTCCTTCCAACATGTAGGTCCCTCTGGTCTCCTTCCAGTCTCACGATCACAGGCAGAAGACTAACATATGCAAATTATTACGGATATATTGAAAACTCAGTAAGGACTTCTGAAAAGTTAAAAGGCTCCTAATAATCCCAGAATAACGGAGGTGGGAGGGATCGTAAAAGAGCACTTAGGACAACCTCCTCACTGGTAGGAGAGAGAGAGACCTGACATGGGGAGCTACAAGACTTGCTGATTTCACGACGACATGATTTCATGAGAATGAGAGTCCATCCCTGGCTGAAGCACTAAAAGGACTGTCTAGTGCAATTTCTTCAAAACAAAGTGTCCGCTGAAAATCCACTTGTTTGCTACATCCACGGATTCGGTTTTCTCCTTTCTCGGCCCCAAATCCCCTACCCCACTATGTCTCATAACACCAATCCCTTGAACCTTCCTGAAACGTGTCACAGGCTTCTGTGGCTGCATCACTCTTGTTCTTTCCTCCTGCCTCCTTTGCTGCTTATGCTCATATCCTCTTAGAGACTCTTCTTTCTGCCAAAGCCATCTTCTTTGTGTTTCACTATACTCACGTCTTTGGAAATACCATCCAATCCCATGACTTTAATCATCACCTGTGTTTGAATGAACTCCAAGTCTCTCCCTCTCCCTCCATAGATCTCCCCTGCCCTCTCTCTCTTTCTTACAATCTCTCTCCCTGTCTTTCTCTCTCACCCTCTCTAGTGCAAATTTCCTGCCTGAGTCTCATCTTTTCTCTATCTCCATCTTTGCCAGGGTTCAGCTGCCCTCATCCATACTGTTCCTGGGCCTTAGAGGGACCTCTGCTACTAGGTCTTGTCTACTCGGCACTGGATCCATCTCAGCAAATGCTGGTTAAATGACAGCTCAGAAGCTACTGATAATTTTTATTTGAATAGGTCTTCACAGTTCCAACAGTCTCTCCCTCCAATTCTGACTTTAGCATGTTTTGGAGCTTCACTGAACATACGTCTCCACCAGAGTCAAATTTCTGGGGCTTTCTAGCAGTTTTTTATATCAATTCAATCAGGGAAAATTCCCACCAAGAGTCACAAAACCGAGAAGACTTGGTAACATTCTGCTTTCCTGTTGTTTTGAAATTTGTAAACTCTATAATTCATCTGCTTAAAATTATCTAAGTTTCAGAAATCATAAGGACATAACAGGTTTAAGAAAATCTTTGAGAAGAAATAAAAATATTTTTCTAACAATTAAAAGGAAAACCACAGATTTTTGCTAATTATGTTACCTGGTCCATAACATGGAAGTAATAATATATTATTTACATCTACCCAGAAGTAGAAGAGAAGATAGGTCCTTTAAAACTAAGATTACCCAACTATATTAATCTGAAAAGAACAGTCATTACACTTGATCTTAGCCAAAAGGCTAAGAAGTGATGCTACGATTACCCAGCTATAAATTGGTATAAGTCCAGGAGTAACATATTAGTAACAAAGGCCAGGAGTTTTTCCTGGAGTTTCTTTTGAGAATCTAAGTATCTTGACTTCATTTTTTCACAACTGTGCTGAGAATTAACACCCAGAATTACACATTTCATATGAAGAATGATCAACAAAAATGACTGGAAAGAGACCTGCCATATACATGTGGACTGCCCAAAGCATTCTACTGTCATTAATGATAATGTACAGACCACATGAACTCATAGCCAAGTTTTTCATTTCTTTGGGATTTGAGCCATATAAAAGAAATTTAACTTAGAGTACTGGTGTAAACTTCTACATTTAAGAAAGGTTTATGGGATCTTTAAAGTCTAGATGTAGCTTTGCGTCTAAGGTTTCAGCCAGAAGACTGCCACCAAGCAATGAGCTGCGCCGTATTCGATTTATGTACTTTGGAAGGATGACTCAGGGCCCTTCGGCCTAGCTGTCTTCGGTACCTAGGGCTATGGAGGGATTGTGCTGGTCCCAGGACTGGTGGGCAATATGAGCACAGATGAAGCCAATGACTTTTTTATGCAGGATGGCTTTTATGTTTTTAAGATGGACATGGGTCCTTGTGAGAAGAAAGGGATATTTTCTAACCATGCATGTTATAACCATAAACAAGGATTACTCAATTAGAGCATCAAGTCATTCAACTGGGACATGTTCTCTTCAGTACTTTTTTTTTTTTAATCTATCTTAGCAACACACACAGAGCCCAGTGGAACCTGAGAGGTCATCTTGGCCAGGCCCTTAATTTTAGAGATGAAGATGCCAGGGCCAGGGATTTGCTCAAGTTTCATGAAGTAATGCTGATCCTGAATACGAAGGGAAGGGAAGCTAAATTCGCTAATTTAGCATGCCAAAATC